TTCCTAAATACGGGCCTGATGTTAAGTGGTTTTACATCCCAGGTTTCGCTTTCCCCAGAGTAGAAAATTACATTCAAGAAGGTCTAGTTCCCACCCACCCACTTCCACACATGTCAGTATACTGGGACTCCTCGTCTGGACAATCATAGGGCACTATTCAAATACTCAGATACTTTACTTTTAACTCGAAAGCTAATTGGGTTTTCAATGTTTCTATTAGGCCTACTTTAGATATTTTAATGTAAATTACGAAGTCATGCTCATTTGCTTAACTTCTTTACCAAAGCCTCTCACATCCTCAATCCAAAACCGGCGTGGCCAAAAACAAATATATTCTTTCCGGAGTAATGTCGTTTGCCGGATCAAAATCGTCGGCGGACCGGAGTTGGCCCGTGGGGCCGGGGATTGAATACCGTGGCTCTTCATAAGTCACTTTGAGGCTTAAGGAGTGGGGTTGTTACCGTTACCTTCTTCATTAAAAAAAATATACAAATATTTGTGTGAACACTGCTCACATATTATCCTTATTTATTATAAAAGTAACTCTACTAAGCAACATTGTAACGTAAAGATCGTAATAATTCATTCATGCATTCATTCATTCACTTTTATTTCAGACATTGTCCATATGAAATACAAAAATAAATACCAGTACAAGTACATGACATACAGAGTACAACAAACTACCTCAAAAAAATAAATGAATAAATAACCAGAATCTGCCAATATGTTAATGATAGCCTATTATTTTATATAAATTCCAGAAATCAATAAAACTATGTAATGTTACTTCTCTATATATATATACTGTACACCATTAAAAATGAGAAATGTTTGAAAAAAAATCATCAACTAGTAATTTCAACTAACAGGCTTATCTAATATTAACAGCAAATTTATACCATACCATTAAAATATAAATTTGACTAAATTACTGTTGGTTGACTTCGGTAAAATGCATACCATAAAAACTTTTTATTTTTTGAATTGAAGCCCTGATGTAGCTGCTGGGGTGGGGAGGGTAATAATGTCAAGAGGCCTTGTTAGCGTTCAGCGCTATATAAGTCTAACATATTATTATTGGAAATAAGTCATTTTATTTATCTTTATCTGATTTTTATTTATTTTCATAGTTCCCTTCTCTTTAATATTTGCTTCTAACGTTTTATACTTTATTTTATATTATTGTCTGTATTGATGCCAAAAAAAGAAAGATAAAATCTATACACATATATAACTTATTTTTTTACTCTTATATAAGCCTAATCGTTGCTTATGTGAGTTTTTTATCTATAAAATGTCTTGTTTATTCAGTAATGAACAAATGGAAATTTGTAATAAATTCTTCATACGGCATAAATTCTTGCATGAAACTAAAAAATAATAAGAAAATTGTTTACAACGTAAAACGTGGTGTTATATATAGTAGACAACCGATAAATTAACCAAATTTAGAGTACATAGGGGCCTAATCTAAACGATAGCCCCAACTGAGTCATAATGTTCTACAGCAAGCTATATTAAATTATTACAGAAAATATTTCAAATCATTAAACGCTGGTGATCGCATTTTCAGCAGCCACCAGACATTATTCTGAGCAAAGCATTCCACTAGTTTCAACCAATTATCTGCAGATAATCATTTGGCTCTGTGCTTTGGTTCTCATTTGGAATACACGCATCAATTTCACTGTAATCCCCGCTAAACTGAAACTCAATTTGTTTCACTCTTCCTCGAATCGCTGGAACGCGAATAGTGTTCTTATAAGGTATATCGACATAGTCCAGTGAACTGTTCACTTTCTGGCTGCGGCCTGCGTTAATGTGACTAAATAGTTTGGGAACTGCATGATTGAGAGTCTGACCACGAACCATGGCATTTGCAATTCCTTTTTGGTTTCCAGTTCCTTTGCTTTTATCAACGTCTGGTAAGGAAAGATAAAACATATAATAGAAAATCAAAATTAACAAGTAACTCTCTAGTCTGTGGAGTAGAATAAGGACATTCTGGAGCTAATGTTACATCATTCATCCTAACTAGAGAGTATTCTTACTTATTGATTTTTGATACACAACCTCGTCAGCTGTGGTTTTCTGGTTTTGGACAACAGCATTATACGTCGCATACTCGTGTGTACCTTCAGTTACATAATCCTGATATGCAACTTTAGATACAGGTTTGTCATTTCTGTAAAAAAAAAAAGTGACTTTAGGTATGACCAGCAAAAAAACGCCTAGAGTGGTGTCCATTGTGAAAGAGTTACGCTGGGAACTCACTGCATCGAACGATCAGTGGCGGATTCAATGGGGCCCAGCCAGCGCGCCCCACCTCCCCTCCCCCCTAATAAATTGTTGAAAATTTTAAAGAATGGAGAAAATCATATTCAAATTTTAAGTTTGAGAGTGCAATTTCTGGCCATCTAGAGGTGCCATAATCACAAATTTTTTTACCTCATCCCCAACCATGGTGACGCTGAGGTGGTATACATCCTCCATCTGCGAAAGTACCTCCCTGGGCGCCCTCTATATTGAATTCTTGGATCTGCCACTAAAGACGGTCGTACGACAAATCCAACTCCGCTCCCTGTGAGCGGTAGACGACGTAACGCAATCTGTTGATTGTCGGTGGCAGTCTGAACGGATCGTCAATAAAAACGATCCGTTGTGCGTGCATCGTCGCGTTGTATTCTTCATAGAATCGCGTCGGCCGAAGACCGTCGGGCGCAGTGTTGAGTGCCCGGCCTCAGTTGTTTACTATAAAATACAAGACAACAATTAACAGATATAATATTAAATATGAATATAAAAATATATTACACGCAATTAACAAGGTTGAACTATATTGTGAGGTCAGGAGAGGAATATGGCATGGAATGTAATACAGTAGATAGGCTCTGTCTCTTATACACATGGTCACTCTATGCGCTCTACACCAAATTAAAAAAACAAAAATAATTTTTAATTTTACAAAATATATTTTACAAGCTTTGATGAAAAATAAGTGGCTTTTTTACTAGATATAGGCTACTGGTATACCCACTGGTGTACCAGTTCATATCGTATGACGTTAAATCATTATTCACCAATATTCCAACTATGAAAGCCATTTCTTTACGCGAGAAAGATTAGAACATGACACGTCATTAGAAAGTAGAACGTCACTTCCGATAACCCACATAATCAAAGAAGAGTTTTACCTACAAACCAAAGGCACAGCAATGGGATCACCAGTATCTCCCATAATTGCGGATTATATGGAAAACTTCGAACGTATGGCGTTAACCACAACATCACATCCCCCAGAGTTTTGGTATAGATACGTGGATGACACATTTACGAAATTACATCGAGACCGAATTGAAGAATTTACGGACCACATTAACAGCATCGATCTAGACACTCAATTTACTATGGAACAGGAACAAGACATGAAACTTCCCTTTTTGAACACATACACACATGTTAACACAGACACATCTACAAATGTTACGATCTACAGAAAACCTACGCACACTGACCAATATCTAAATTTTCAATCGAACCATCATCTAGAACACAAGAGGTCAGTGCTACGTTCTTTATTATACCGAGCAGAAAACATTATAAGCGAAGAAGAGGACAAAATTAGTGAAATTAACCACATACACAAAGTACTAGCGGCAAACAAATCCTAAGTGGATGTAGAAAATCCCACAAAAAGTAAAATTAACGGATAAAGACGAAATTAATGAAAATGAAAAGAAAATTCTTATTGCTCTCCCATACATCAAGGGAACATCGGAAGCCCTAAATAAGAGTTACAAAAGAAACGGAGTAACAGCTTACTATAAACCTTTCAATACACTGCGGACACAATTGGTCAAACCCAAGGACCCAACCCCAGTTAAAAAACAGTGCGGGGTCGTGTACGAAATTGAATGGGATACGTGCGGAAAAACGTACATCGGAAAATCCGGAAGATCATTAGATATACGTGTCAAGAAACATTTAAATCAACGTGTGCAAATACTTTCAGCGGTAGCAGAACATTATAAAATCACTGGACATAACAATAATTGGAATAAAATCAAAGTACTAACTAAAGAAACTAATTCATTCAAAAGGAAAATAAATGAAGCTATAGAAATTAAAATGAGAACGCCACCATTAAACCGAGATTGCGGATAATGAGCTACCACCCATATACAATAGCCTGCTACGTCATCACACGAACATCGATGCTGACGTGTCAGTTAACCGCCAGATTCAAACGGCTGACGAAGATGACGAGATGTCATCAAAAGCTCCCAGATACTAAACTACAACTCTGAAATGTAACTTACACTCTTTTTCTTAATAATATGATCACAATAATAATAATGATATTAATAATGACAATATATTGATAATCATATAATAAATGATAAAATATAATAATAATTAATAATAATGCTTATAATAAGATTCAAGATTCAAGATTTATTTTCGTCATACATAGTACATATATACGAGATTTGTTTCTTTGACTTGATAACAAACAGTGGAAATCGAATACTATAACACTACAACAATTAACAGATAAATTAAATATGAATATAAAAATATAAAAATATATTACACAAGGAATTAACAAGGTTGAACTATATCGTGAGGTCAGGAGAGGAATATGGCATGGAATGTAATACAGTAGATAGGCTTGATGATGAGATTATCAAAAGTGTTCGTTAAAGACTCTTATTGCACACGTTGATACGTTTTAAAGTTGGAATTATTCTGCCAGATTTACTAATTGTTATGAACTTATTAGTAAATCTTTCAGAATAATTCCAATAATAATAATGATGTTGATGATGATCAAGACGATGCCGCGCGATACCGATAACGACGGTTACAGTGACAACCTCAACGATAACTACAATGGTAATAAATGGTAATGATATTATAATTATAGCGATAACCATACAAATTTGAAAAATCGTTTAGTTGAAGTCATAACAGAATAACTTGATAGCATTATTACCCTGGTTTTGTTCTTCTCTGTCTACGTCGGATTAGCAAGTAACTTAGTAAAATCATAGCTATTGTGGCCACGACACTCGACGTTATCGCACTAGCAACAATCGACAAGTTAGGACCCGCGTTCATTTCCGATACAGTTTCCTTTGATTGAGTGGCGGTGGGCACAATTTTTGTAGTTGCTTGCTCAGCACATATTCCAGTATGTCTGCCTAAAACATGATTCAGAAAAAAAACATTATGTCAGTTTTATTGTTTCTTTTAACCTAAAATAATTGTTATTACAATAAATAAATAAATAACATATATCACGTACGTGTAACATCTCAATAAATACTGGTACTATTGAAGCGCAAAAAATAAGCAGTGCAGTTTTATCTAATCTATTATCTACATATGAATCATGTAGGCTATTATTTTTTCCTTCATTGAAAGAAAACGAAAGACACACAACAGACAAATACCAGATGCAAGCAATTGGAAAATTTAAATTAAACTAAATCACTTTCAGTTTATTCGCTCTTAATTTCATAGATGAAACCTGCAGGGTTTTACATGTTCCTGAACAAACAACGGACATTGGAACAACCTTCCCCCTCCCCACCCTTCTCCTTTTAAGGATTAGCAAATATAGGGCCTAAATAAAATGTTATGTTGGCGTAACCCGACCGGCCCTAGACATTTTTATTTAAATTTCACGATACAAGTTTACGTGTGCAAAGTGGGCGTGGTCGTGCCGTGCGTCACTCAAAATGATTCAAGATAGTCCAAGGGCGAAAAATATGACAATTATAAGCTTCAAAGGCTTATTTAATTGATTTTATAAAAAATAAAAAAATAAAAAAACAAAGTGGGCGTGGTCGTGCTGTCCGTCACTCAAAATGATTCAAGATAGTCCAAGGGCGAAAAATATGACAATTATAAGCTTTGAAGGCTTATTTAATTGATTTTATTTAAAAAAAAAATAAAATAAAGCAAAAAGCAAAAACCTGCCCTATTTTTTGGGGCCCGTTACGCCAACGTAACATTGTTTAAGGCATAGGTTATATTCTGTAATAATGGTGACAATATTTGAGTATGTATCATAACAGAAAATCATTATTTTAATTCAGAGGTATGCCAACTGACCCCTATCCTCAACTCAGGGGTGGCGCCAGCGGGGGAGCGGGGCGTCGCCCCCACCCCCCGTCGGGGCAAATCCTGGCACCACCCATGCCTCAATTCTCGCCAAGTAGTAACCTATGCTGCTCTCCTAAACCATAGCTTATCGCAATCGATATTTTTAATGTCTACACTATTCTGGTTAATAACGCAAACCCTCCCCGTGTTGACGATACCCGGGCAACAATTCTAAAATTTGTAAAACACATTACTAGATATTTATTTTTATTTTTATTTATTTATTTATTCTTTATACTGGGTTACCTCTTCAGTAAGAAGTTACTGTTCTCCCAGAGGGCCCAGTACATCATATCAGTCCTAGCATAAATAATTATAACATACTAAGTTATATACCCTCTCAACTTTTTCCACCCCTCCCAACACCACACCCGTGACTAATTACGGTACTTACCCGTGGACTCGCAAACGATAGTGTCTACCATACAAGTTGTGTTGCATTCATTATTTGTAATGTCTACACTATCGAAAAACAAGATTCTGTCCTTTACTGTAATTGTTGCACATCCCGAACTAATTTCATTATGTGGCGGGTTTTGGACATGAACAGTGAATGTACTGCCTTGCGATGATCTAAGGATACGTAGCACGTTATTTTTCAAAATCTCGTACTCGTCGATGCTGTTGATTACGGTGATGTTGCCGCCTACTTGTTCGCATTCACGCTGAGCATCAATACATGATCGGCCTTTTTTGTTCACTCTTATAAATTTGTAGCAATTTGGTGATGTAACCTTATACACATTGCTTCCTGTAAACACTAAGTTTAAAACGAGAATCATTATAGACTTCCTCTCTTATATAATGCATTATGGACGCATATTGCAATTTTGGTCATATACGCTTACATGTATCATAATTAATATTATCGTCTTTTCTAATTCTTTAAAACTAGCAACAACAAAAAATCGAACTAAACATAAATATAGGATCAAATTCCATTGATCCCAACACAATATCATACTTTAATTTAATAAGAGGAATAAAATGTGTAGGTTTAGTGATGTATAGAGGCTTATATCATTATTCTTTAATAAGATAACAGTGAGGATTATTATTTGCCATAGTCCTGTGTATCTTTGAGACACTGTAAATGTCAAAAGTGTGAATGGATGCAAAATGTCGATCAAAATAAAGGCCTCTTACATGCATGGGAGTGTGATGGGTGCTTGCGTCTCGAGCTCCATTCATCATTTTTAAAGTTTATTTATAGATAGCTAAATAATAACGTGTCATTTACTGTACATTGTATGCAATATTTAACGATAAAGTGAGTGAAAATGAGATTTTTTTTAATCTCAAATCAACTATTTTTTAAGCCAGAACATATTGACGTTAGTATTTCTGTCCTTTAAATGAGTTTACAAAAATAATGAAATATACAAACTTCATGATTTCGAAATCATACCCGCGAGTTTAATGTCTCCGTTTGGTTCTTTGAATTTCCAACCATCACTTGAGGGGCTGTCTCTTATACACATCTAGATGTGTATAAGAGACAGGTTTATTCGCTCTTAATTTCATAGATGAAACCTGCAGGGTTTTACATGTTCCTGAACAAACAACGGACATTGGAACAACCTTCCCCCTCCCCACACTTCTCCTTTTAAGGATTAGCAAATATAGGGCCTAAATAAAATGTTATGTTGGCGTAACCCGACCGGCCCTAGACATTTTTATTTAAATTTCACGATACAAGTTTACGTGTGCAAAGTGGGCGTGGTCGTGCCGTGCGTCACTCAAAATGATTCAAGATAGTCCAAGGGCGAAAAATATGACAATTATAAGCTTTAAAGGCTTATTTAATTGATTTTATATTTAAAAATCATTATTTTAATTCAGAGGTATGCCAACTGACCCCTATCCTCAACTCAGGGGTGGCGCCAGCGGGGGAGCGGGGCGTCGCCCCCCCCCCCCCCCCCCCCCCCCCCGCCCCCCCCCGCCCCCCCCCCCCCCC